TATACAGTTACAACTACACATCTTTGCATAACTATGTAAATAAAAATGTAGTTGTTCGGCCCGCCAAACAAATATATAAGTATGATTTTGCACAAAAGCAATTGTCTATAAATGAGACCTCACATATACCATGCCAAAATATATCATAAAGTTTACAAAAGGAGATGGTAGTTCATTGAGCTTAACTGATACCACCAATGGTACTTCAGATAAATTCTTCCCACCCCAGTTAAGGATTATGAAAGATGAGTTAAAAAATACCCAAAGTAACTTAGACAACAATCTTGATAGATTCACTGTATTAAGAGTATATGGCATATTGCACCAGGCACTAAATACAATATATAACAAGACTTGGAGTGGCAATTTTTTCCTCAATTGATAAACTCGACACGATTCAGTTGTGAAATAATATACTGCCACTACACACAAGAAAACTTTCGATATCGAAACATAACTCTCGTCATACATATTCCGAACAGATAAAACCCATAACCCCAGTCTGAAACTACATATTGACCTACTACATACGCAAGAGCTAGTTAATCATTTTGCAGTGAGAACACAAATACAAATATACTTATACATGACCTGCTTGTCCATTTCTTAACAAGCCCTATCAGACCAAATCAACATTTCTCCAACCAAACAACACCAATAACAACCACAAATTATGCATGATATACTCAATTGAGCTAATTAGATATAACAGAAAGAGGGAGATAAAATAACCACCAGTATCAATAATTTATATTTCACAAAATTTATTGATAAACTAACCATACATACGTTTTCAAAGTTTCTTCCTTGTGGATCATCATAAGGTTTTCGATGAGTATGCTTTATGATCTTGTTTTGAACACGCCCAATATTTGCATTTGAAATACACCTCTTACGTTTTTTTATAAATATTATCAAAAGAACCTGGATTATTCCCTTTTGAGGCACCATGCAGCTCATAATCATCAGTCGAAATTTCTTGTTCCTTCTCGAAGTCAGAAACACTCTCATCGTCTCCACAACTAGATAGTAAGACCTTTTTCCTTACCTTTTGCCTTCAACTTGTTCTGTACATCGGCACGCTTTTTTCCTTATCAGACACAAAATCATCATCGACTGGAGATGGGCATCGGTCCTTTATACGAACTCCCTTATTCAGTTGTAATTTTGATCCGACGACTACCTATTTCTTTCGAAACAACAATTTTTTCTGCACAAGTTTGCATTTCCCTTCCCTTTTTTCGTGGACACCATCTGATTTCTTACGATTCTGAGCACAATCACATTCAAAATCGGATGGTGTGTTAGAAACATATGAATTCACACTTGTTTTAGCCATCAGTTTTCAATTTCGAACATGAGTACAAGCTTCAGATCTCAGATTTCTCTCATACATGATTTTTGAGAGAAGAAATATTGTGATGCGTGAATTCGAAGATTACCTATTATCTTACCAATTGCAATTTGAGCCAGAGATCACGCCGAAGAACTTCTTTCCATGTAAATGAACAATTGAAATCTGTATCCAAAAACAGCCAACCCCGTTTTATTGCCTTCAAAACACCGATGTCTCGTTAAATTGTAATTGCCGGTCGTATAAAAAATATAGTGTTTTATAACTCGTATAATAAGTGCACAAGAAAGTTTGACACGTAGGGAGGGTAATTTTCTCTTCAAAATCTATTAGTCACAACAATAAATAATTGTGTGGTGTTATTGCACGATATGTCAATTTGCAGATATTCAATTCGAATTTGCAGATATTCAATTCGAAAATATCAAATATTCGATTCGTTAACGATAATTATTTAAATTTTATAAATTATATATAGTATATTTTTTTTAATATATATATTGTTATATTCTTAATACTTTTATGACATAAAAACAAAACACATCACAAATAACAAGTTGCCCTAAAAACACCTTAAATTGGATAGGAAAAACATGAACAATATTTTTGTAATTATAATATTTTTTTGAAAACGAATTTTAAATCGAATTGAATATGTTCGAATATTCTAAACGAATTGAATACAAATAAAAAAATGAGTTCGTTTACAAATAGAATACGATTTCGAATCTTCGAATATTTTAACGTATCCGAATCGAATATGTTAGTAGTCGCTTTGATTCGATTCATTTACAACCCTATAGTTGAAGCTTTGCCTTACGTTTTGGACTTCGTTTTGCTTTGCACTCGGGTTTTATGCTCCGAGCAGCAAAGACTGATGCTCTTTAGTCATTCGTGGTATTTTTACCACCTTCCAAATAACCCATTGCAAATGTTTTTGATGATCTTTTATCGTCCTTGAAATGTGGTTTTTGTAGTCACGTTGATAGAGCTAACAATGTGATAGCTCATAAACTATCTAAATGGGCTTTAGTGGCGACGTATTTCTTCCTTTGGAAGAACTCTTTGCCGTCTTTTTTCCCTTCTTTCTTTCGAGATGTACCAGGTTCTTGATTTTGGTTAAATGAATCTAGGTATTTAATCGAAAAAAAAAAGCTAGTTTTTAATATCATGATTTTTTTTCTTAAACGATAATTGTATTAAAAACTAAAAAACTCAAACTAGCACACCCGATGTGTCAATTGAGACCAAAAGAACCAACACACAGACTGAATTCATCCCTCTTAGAATTACACAGTCAACTAAGGGGTAAAATTACCCGCAAACCAAAAAAGCTCTAAAAAGTAGACAAAACAACTCTTTATAGAAGATTAAAGTGAGGCGCAATTTGACTTTTATCGAAAAACAAGGAGACAAAACAACAACAACAACAACAACACCACGCATCTAACGAATACATTAAGCCAGCTTTACTACCGTCCAGAAACAAACTCCCTATCTAACGAAAGACAACNAAAGAAGACAAAAAAAAAAAAAAAACAGAAATTTTGGATATCATGATTAGTGGAGTAAAATTAATCAAAATCGTAAATCAACGTACTAAGTTTGATGAGGGTATCTGACCGCTTTTATAAAGTGGTTTATATACCTAATCAATTATAATTTTTGCATCTTAAATTGATGTATTTTTTATTATTGTTATTTATGTTGCGAAGGATTAGATGCGGTATAGCGAGCTAAACAGCTCATAAGGTGATCGGTTAAGGAGGTCTATTTAAGAGGTAGGCTTTTGAGGTTTGGAGGTTGATATAAGGCAAGTAGTGGGTTAACTTGAGTTAGGGTCATCGGACAACCTGGTTATTCTCGAGTTAATATGGTGATTTAGGTTGTAGAGATTGACTTTTGAGTGGAATGCGGAGAAAACTTTTCTAATAAGAGTTTGATAAGTAAAAATTGAGTGATAAGAAATATGGATTCCCATATATCGTATGAAGATATTATTCCAAAATGAATGAACTTATGGAGAATACCATAATTTGGAGAGAAGATATTTGGTAGAGGGTATAACAACATTTTCTACAAGTATAAAAAATGCACTAGTACTTTTCATGATTCTCTTGTTCGCAGCCGTATAGAGGATCTCATTTGAACTTTAAAAAGTCGAGGCTTTGTGCATGTGATCAAGGAGACAAGGACCGGTTTAGGTGGAAGAGGTATTTTCAAAGGTGCGGAATGCAACAAGATTATGTTGATTGTTCTTGAAATAATTTGCATACAATCCTAGGTTCTATAAAAAAAATATATGATGAGATGAAATTTTTAAAAAACTTATATACAATGATCCCTACAAAAATGACTATATTTTTGTGTGAGACAGCCTAACAATTAACTAGACCGACTCGTCGTACTCTCATAATAAAAATGCTACTTATATCTCTCTCTTACATATAAGAAAAAGCTTGAGGTGTTCTAGGCTTGACATGTGTTTATTTTTTAGCTGACTGAAATACCCTGCATTGACTCTCTTTTTTCACTTGCTGCCCTGCCCCTCTTTTTCGGAATTTTCTCTGGCCTTTTGGCTCTGATATAGCAAAACGACGTAGTTTACGTCCTTTATTATTTTTGTTAGACTAAAGTAACTTTTGATTTTCTCCAGATTTTTGGGGAATCATTAATTGTTGTTGTGCTTTTTCCCTCTGTCAAGCAATGTCAGATAAAATGACACAATAACCTACCAAGCAATTTCCACGAACAATTCCTCTCATTTCCAATTCTCAAGAGGGAAGCGACGGCAGTTCTTTCGAAGAAGCGAGCCGAGAAGGAAGAAATTGAAGCAGGAAAAAAAGACACTGAAGATAGCTTACGTCGGCGATGATGACGTTGATGACGACTTGTATTATGAAGGCGACCGCGAGCTCCAATCAGATGAAAAGTTCATGACCTTAAACGACAACTGAATCGTCGATGGTCGGAGCCGAGAAGGAAGATGGTGACAGAGAGGCTGCTGCAGCCTGACGGGTCACCGGTGAGGTTGGACGAGATTTTTAGGTGAACACGACTACCAATTAGAAGGTACTAATCAAATTTTTAAAACCTAAATCTGTCTTCTAAACTCTTTAAGTCACCCACCGGACGCTCCATTTCTTGTCCGTCAACTCTGTGAGCAGTGATGAAATTCGCTCATTTTCCTTTACATATTCACGCACCGCACCCACACTAAATCGCCCAAAGATAAACCTCATCGGAGAGTTCCATAACGACAGGTAGGTGATGCTCGCCTCCTGTTTCTTTTCCACAGCGACAGGTAGGTTCTAATTTTTTCAATTCCAGAATTTGATAGTTTTTACATGTGCAATATCATATCCATATTGATTTCTGCCAAGTTAGCCTTTTGCATTTAGTCAGTATGTTGTAAAGACACTGATCAAGAAAGAACTACTATGCATGTGAACTGTAACAATAGACGTTTTTTACCTCGAATTTTTAGCAGAATGTTTTGTTGTTCCTTATTTTGCCTGTAGTTTTTATCTTATAGAATTTGTCCATAGTAGAATTTCATGGTATTTTCTTTGTGTTGGTTATTTGAATGGTTCTATATACTTTTAAATCCCATCTGAATTTTTTGGTTTTTTTGTTTTTTGTCTAGGAAAACTTAGTATTGATTCCCATGTCAGGAGGAAGTTCAAAGGATGCACCCTGATGCTAAACATCGGCTATCTTAAATGTTGGTCGTGTTTCAAACGAGAAGCGGTAAAATATGTGGCTCCATTGCAGTAATCATTATTATAAAGCAGCAAAATCAACTGCACACTTTGAGGCCTTCTCACAATGCCTTTTGGTAGAGGTAGTAGAACCAATAGTCCCATATGTTCCATATTTCTTGAGAAACTTAATGTCTTGAACTAAGTGCTTGTTTTTGTACTATCTACTATGAACATATTTAAAATCTCAGTGTGTTTTCTTTTCACAGATTATGTTCTTTCGTCCTAATAAGACACCCTTTTCTCCATTCATCAGGCTCTGAGCTGCTCGACCAGCACACAGGCCTCGAGGTCATTTGAGACTCCAGCCCAAAACTTTGCCCCGAAAATCCGATCAAGCAGCCACATCAACATCGGGCCCTGCAGCTCGAATGAGGGCGACACATCTGTATTAAGCAATGAAACCACTTCATATATTGGAAAGGTAAGCGAGGATATTAAGCTTCAAGCTTTCTTTCCCATTAAATTAGTTGTCTTACTTCATGTCATGTCTAGCATGTGTATGTTATTTTTTGAAGTTTAGATTAGATATGAATTGTCAATTTGTTTCGCATACTAACTTAGTTTGAATGTTAGTGTCGTAAGAACAAATGGAATTGTTTTCCCGTTTCATGTGACATGTTTAGCTTTTGCAAATGTCATATTGTGAAAATTACAGATGTTCTGCCTTTTCTCATTCCTCTAGATAATTTGATGACAACTGCTTTAATGCCTTCTACGAGCTCTCAGATCCAATGGAGGACAAAAATAAATTTCTTGAAGTAATGCCTACAGATGACTCGCAGATGAAACAGATGGTGGTTGAGCTTGATAAAGGCATGGTAAATTAGCAAGTATGCAGACAAGATTAAGAGGTATGCATTCTTTTAAAATATGGCTTCAGTGATATGGTTCACTGAATGTTTAGATTAACTCATTTGTTCTGTGTTTAGAGGAGCAGAAGTTGATCAGATCATTTCAGCAAGAGTTGAATTATTTAAAAGAAGAAAACAAAAAAGTGAGTATTCTATTGTTGCATGTTATTTTATGAGCAACATGACATTCATTCTTATGTCTTCCAGACCATGCTACATTTTTTTTTACCAAGTATAGTTTTTAAAGCTTTTTTAGAACGATGATAAGTGAATACCTTTTTGTTATGAAGACATGGTTCTCAGTCAGAGTATGTTGTCGTGTATAATTTAAACATATCCGCCTGAATGTCTTTTCCTTTTGTGATGCTCTGTTAGGATGCAGATGGTAAAAGCAAAATTGGGGATTTTCATACTCAATTCTTTTCTCTTTATAAAGGTATCAACCACTTCTCTTATTGTTGATCTTTTAACTTTTTTAGCCTTCACCATTACATTTTCGGAGAATGGGGCGATATGAGTCAGATAACTTCATATAATGGAAGGACAATCAGTTGTATACAAGGCACAATAACTTACCTTTTCTTTTCTTCATATATTTTTTTTAACACGAATGCGCTATTTTTTCCAGATTGCGACCATAGTTTTTGCTGTGGATGAGAATTCATTTGGTGTTGTTCTTCGTAGAATTCTGTAAGTCCACTGTAGCTTCTGTTCTTTCTTTCATAATCCTTTATATATATATATATATATATATTTCATACTCATTCGTAATCAATACAAAGGAGGTTGCATTTTTCTATGTGAAAACGAATTAAGTTTTTTACAACAAAAACTAATTTGGTTCACACAATAAAAACAGCAATGCACAAAAAACGAAGACGCACCAACAGCAAATGGAAAGGGATGGAAATGAATTAAAATTTAAATTCAAATTGTAGTCGCTATTTGTGCATGTGTGTACATTTTTACATATATTTGATATTTTCTTGGGAATTCCGGATCATTCTGCCAGTGTCTTTACAAATTCAATTTGTGTGTGGGAAGCATAGGAGCTGGACAACATGGATAATTTCTCAACGTTTATTCTGGATTCTCGAAGCCCCACACTGGTAATATTTGTGTGAAATATACGTAACAGCTTCAAAATATGATTTATTGATCATATTTGTCTCCACAAACACCTATGCTTTGTTCTTATCTTAAAGAAAAAAAAAATATGCTACCAATTGTCACAGTTGTTACCGGACGCTATGTACAACCAGTACAATATCATGTGCCGCTGCTCTGTACTTTGACAAGAAAGAAGGACGCAAATACGAGGTTACCATGAAATCGATAGATAACCGCCTCCACTTTGCAGATGGGTGGGAACTCTTTGTTTGAATTGAGGACATCCGCAAGGAGTACACGCTTTTCTTCGAATGTACAAGCCTGACGAACTTCACAGTCACGGTAGGGACATATAATGGTGTTGAAAGGCGTCCACAGTATCGGTTCACATTACACGTGAAGAGAATGCATGTTCAACACGCACGCTTCGTAACCCACTTAACTCCTCTCCATAATATAATGCAATTAGTTAGTAATTAACTGCATGAATTATGGGTTACTTATTCAGTTAATATCATTGGATTTTCGGCAGCACATTCCAATGAGCTTTTGGAAGTCGCACATCAAAAACAAAATAAGAGACACTAGGCTGGCTTGTTTGATGTTTAAAGGGGTTGTCTATTCGCTTCAAGTGATCGAACGACATGGTAAGAAATTGATGGAACATGGCGGCGCTAAAGAATTTATAGAGCATGTTGAGATTGTCGAGGGATCAATATGCAGTTTCACGTTGCTTCCAGCTCCTAATCTATCATTTAGGGTGGTTGTGTAGCTCAGATTTATATATATCGAACTTTAACGTACTCTACTTAGTTCGCCAGCAACATAGTGCGCCTTTTGTGATCACCTTTTGTGTGCGTAAATGTTATTGTTGTAGAATCAATTAAGCACGTTTATATTGTGGCGCTTAAAGATTCTGAATCAACCAAACTTGCTTACCCAAGTAGTGAAGGGGTATTTCTTTTTGTAGCATGTGCATGCTATTTCGACTGATGACAAATTTCAAGTGTATTTTTAGACCGAATTTCTTTTTGTAGCATGTGCATGCTATTTCGACTGATGACAAATTTCAAGTGTATTTTTAGACCGAATATTATTCCGTCGTGAAATATGACCGAATTTGACGCGAAAATATGAACTGAACAGACTAAATTTGAGTCGGTTGTGTTTATTTTTTCCAACATTTTTACTTGTAAAAAAAAAATATTTGTATTTTTAAATATTGATAAATATTGATTATAATTATAGACAAGACTAGAGCCGGCTGTGCGTGCACAGCCTCCGGCCAACTAGTATGATTATACATTTATTTATGTTGTTTTATAGAGCATAACTTTTATTTTTATTTTTATCAATTTATAAGGCATGATTGTTTTTTTTTTTGGGAAACAANCAACTACTACAACCCTTTCTGCAAAGAGGAAGCCACACTAGGCGAAACAACGACAGAGTCACGGCTAAGGAGCCCGACACAGAAACTGCAAGAGAACGCTTAACTGCGTCGGACACTAACGAATCCAACCCATTCAAATCCAAACGGACAACACCGGCCCAAGCCCTGATCTCAGAAACCCAGACCTTGGCCTTCATCGCCAACCGTCCCCTCTGCCCAACACCAGAACCGAAGAGGACATAGTGGACAGGGACGAAACCCTCCACCCTAATCCCACGAACAGAAAAATTGGGGCTGCAACCCACATCTGAAGAATGCCGGAGGACTGCCACAACAAAGATTTCAAGGAATTGGCTATTCACCACTCCGTCTAAGAATCACGGCGAAACCGAGATGTAGGACGAGCGCAACGTCCTCCCAGGTGAAGAAAAACCGGCAAATCTCTAGGAAACGGGCCGCGAGGCCAGGGAAGCCACCGCCAAACGCTCGGAGAATCCCACTGGAGAAGGCGCCGCAAAAGAAACAGAGAGTGGAGTCAGAAACTGGGGTTACTTTTTGTATAGAAAAAGACAAAAGGTTCTAGATAAAAAAAATTTGTTAAATTTGTATATCTGACGACCCACCATCAGAATGCCATGATTGGTTAATCCATAGCATTTTCTATCTAAGAATTTAGGACCATAAAAGATATTTTGTAAAATAAAATTTTTTATTAATGCTTTCTCTTGTTTTGCCGTGATACTTTTTTCTTTTCTTTTTTTGGTAATATCGAAGACATTTCCAAATTCCAATCCATTGCCTTCTTCGCACGGCCCTGGGCATCGTCTCCAACTCTCTATTTGATCAATCATCTTCCAACACACACAGATCCATTTTCGTCAGCTTCACATATTTCATCACATAGCCACAGCTGCCTGAACCCGCGCATCCCTACCGAGAATCCCAAATTCGAAGAAATGTCGAGTGACGGCGACGATCTGGACGAGGACGAGCTGCTGCAGATGGCGCTGAAGGAGCAGTCGCAGCGTGATCTCAGCTACCGAAAACCCTCGCAGGCCGCGCAGAAGCCCGTCCGCAACTACGTCCAGCCGCCGTCGAGCCGCGCGGCGGCAAGGAACCCCGGACCGGCGGGGATTCCGCAGCAGAAGAAGGGGGTCAGCAAGCAGAGGAAGCCGTCGCTGGACGAGGACGAGGATTCGGAGGTGGAGCTGCTGAGCATCTCGTCCGGGGACGAGGATGATCGAGGCGGCGTGGTTCGGAAGAACCGTGTCGGGAGTGGGAGGGAGGATGACAAATGGGACGGGGAAGAACCTAACTGCTGGAAGCACGTCGATGAAGCTGAGGTATGATGGTTTATCTTATGGTTCTTGTGAATGTGTGTGTCATATGTGTATGCATGGAGCACTTGCGTGCTCGATCATTAATTGGAATGGATTGGTAAATTCAGGTGTTCGTTTAAGTGATACTTTGCTCAACTATGGTGTTGTGAGAGTCTGGTATCTGTACAGATTAATGGATGCTGATTTTTCCTTGATGGGCTTTAGTTTGAGACTTTGAGTTAAAGGTCATGCACTTGTGTTGGTTGATTGCATGTTCTAGATAAGCCACATTTTACTTGCTTAGTTCTCCTAAAACTATTCGAATTGAAGTTACTAATAGACTTGTGGGAGTGATGAGATAAATGCTGTATGATGTAAGTCATCGAACTTTTGCTTTAAAATGCTGTCATTTTTATACGGTTTACTTTCCGATTCAAGAGTGTTTAGCCTTGGATTGGAAACTTCTTGATTCGAGTATTTGAAATCTAGTTTACACAGCCATAGACCCTTGGATAGATTAATTCCATTGGTATTTTGTGCATTTTTAGTGTTTGACTATATCGCTCAGCTTATTGCATGCACACCTCATTTGCTACTAAAAAAGAGCAGAAAACCTGCCAATTGTATGACGTCATTTATCTTTCCATTCTCTATCTGGGTCTGTATGAGTACTTATTGAATTTGGTGGTCATATGTCTGTTACTCGTTGCCAATTACGTTGGTTTCTGTAAAATTCATGGGATAGCTGGCCCGGAGGGTCCGTGAGATGAGGGAAACACGTGCAGTTCCTGTAGCTCAAAAGTTTGAGCGGAAACCAAAAGCACTAACCCATTTACAGTCACTTCCTCGCGGCATGGAATGGGTGGATCCTCTTGGACTTGGGTAAGTTTTTCTTGTTTGGGTCGTTTTTCCACCTGCCATTTTACTGATCTAGTGCTAATCTGATCTCTCTTATGGACAGGCTAATTAACCACAAAACGTTTAGGTTGATCAGCGATAATATAGCAAATGCTCCTTCACCCTCTGTCGATCTGGAACCTCTTGATCCAAATGCTCGGGGTATTTGCTTTATTTTATTTCTTATTTTCTATTATTATTATTATTGTTATCATTTTGTGTGTACGTGCATGTGTGTATCCTTCGAAGTGTCTAATGAGTGTCTTAGTTAAAGAACACGTCATTATTAGATATCCATCTTATTGAGATGCTACTAATGATTAATCTTCACCAGACCAGGAGACATTATATTATAGAACACTCATTTATGCAACTGACAGATGGTTTGTGAAGAGAGGTTTGCTATAGATTTGGCTTATCAAGTGTATATGAGTGGTGTTCTTGTTAGAAACCAGATGTTACTTTAAGTTTCATGATTCTGAACATACTTGTTAAGCAGTAACACCTTTTCTAATGATGGTAAGTTCAGATTATTGTCTTATATGATAATGTTCAGTTTTGAGCAGCTGCGCATGGATTGAGGGTGGTTACTATTCTCTGCAAGGCATCTATTGTATCCTGATTGCATTTATAATATTCGTTCTCAGAATCTCATTGATTGAGAATTCTGAAAATGAGCAGTTTAGTCTATGATGCTTCTTTTAGGTTTTCTAAATGAACTAATTTCTTATGAATTTTGGGTTGGGATTAAGCCGTAGAAATGTGAGGTTAGAGAAGGTAAAGGCTAATTCTTTTCCTTGTTGAAAAGTTGTAATGGAGATATGTGATTTCTTTCTTTAAATATATCATTTTTTTTTTTATTTTTTTTTTCTGTGAGACAGTCTTGCAATTTCTTGATGTTCTTTATGATTAAGGACTTCAAGATTTGGGTGTTTATTGGATCCCTTAGCACAATAATTGCTTTTCTTTATATTTTATACAGAATTTCTTAAAAGAATGAGTGATGGAGTTCAGAGTCTATTGGCAATTAGCTTACCTTGTTTACTCTGTGTTATGAATGGTGTTGTTAATGCCTCAACATCTTCTTGTTTGATAGGTCTTATTTAGTAACTGGTGTTTCTAATTTTAGTAGTCAATTGCCTTCTCACAGTTGGTATCTTTCATTCTGCAAATTGCACTGGCTGTCAAGATATGACTGCTGGCTATTTGTTTTTAGGGCCAATCATATTAACCCCTCGCAGCTGGCATCACATTTTAATACCTTTTTAGAAATTTAAAGTATCCTTCAGCTTAACACTACATATGTTAGTTACTTGGTTCGTGAAGTTAGGTATTTTATCATAAAGTGAAGATACTTTTTTTTTTTTCAAGTATAAAACCTTTTCTGTTCCTTGGTTACTTTGTGGTAAATTGCAGCCTTTAATTACCGTTACTTGGTCTAAGTTACTGAGATACTTAAGCTGTGTAAAAAGGCAACTCTGTGTAAATGGCTTGCAGAAAAATTGAACTATTACCTGGAGAAATTCGATGCTAAACTATTTTTATCGCGAGTCCACATGGATACTAGTGCTGAAGAATTGGAATCTGGTGCTCTTTCACTAAAGACTGATCTCCAAGGACGCACCCAACAGAAAAAGCAGTTGGTTAAAGAAAACTTTGATTGCTTTGTCTCTTGCAAGACCACTATCGACGGTCAGTTGGAGACATTAGAACCTAGCTTTAGAACTTTTCTATGAGCATGTTCAATTTTAAAAATGCTTTGGTTATTTCAGATATTGAGTCAAAGTTGAAACGAATTGAGGATGACCCTGAAGGTGCTGGAACTAAGCACTTGTATAACTGCATCCAAGGAGTTAGTTCTCATGCTAATCGTGCTTTTGGTCCCCTATTTGAGAGACAGGTAGGTAGGACCCAAATCCGAATGGCTCCTTTAAGAGATATTATATTATATTTCATCCTTAAATAATTCTAATCGAACCATTGATACTTTTCAAGGCCCAAGCAGAGAAGATTAGGTCTGTCCAAGGAATGCTTCAAAGGTTCCGAACACTGTTTAACTTGCCCAGTGCAATCCGTGCTAACATTAGCAAGGGTGAATATGATTTGGCTGTAAGGGAGTACCGGAAAGCAAAGTCAATTGTTCTTCCTTCTCATGTATGT